GAAATCATTTAATGAGGTGGTTAAAAAAATTTTTTTTCCAAGTAGCATTTTAAAAAAATTGTAATCTTACCTACTATAATTTAAAACTGATTTAAAACCACCGTGCCACCATGGTAGAAGGGTTGGAGATACAGAGCTTAGCCCACTTGGCTTTCCCTCATCTCCTTGTGGCAGCTCCTAAGGCTCCTCTCAGGGCCCTGGAGTTCTGTGGAGACAGCCTGAGAAACCACCATCCCATTTCCCAGGGCAGGGAACTCAGGTCCAGAGAAGTGATGTGATTGACTCTGGGTCAACTAGCTAGTTGGAGCCAGGGCCAGGTCTAGAGCACATTATTCTGACAGCCTTCTCAAGGTGTGCAGCCTCCTCAGTGTTGGAGTGTGGTTGTCATAAAGAGAGACTGCTGTCTCCTGAGGGGACAGGCGAGAGAAGTGAGATGGTAAATGTAAGCTCAGCTGTGACCCACCAGGGACCAGGATGACTGGAGTGGGGCCTGTATTGGAAGCTTGATTCTGTCTTTATCTCCCCTCAGGGTGGTGTACCATGAGCTGGTGCTGACCACGAAGGAATACATGCGTGAGGTCACCACCATCGATCCCCGATGGCTTGTGGAGTTTGCTCCTGCCTTTTTCAAGGTCTCTGACCCGACCAAACTAAGCAAGCAGAAGAAGCAGCAGCGTCTTGAACCCCTGTACAACCGCTATGAAGAGCCCAATGCCTGGAGAATATCCCGGGCTTTCCGGCGGCGCTGAGAGGCAAGACTTGTTTGCCTGTCTTGCAGCAGTGACCCAGGGCTTGGACTCACTCTTACTGGTGAAAAGCTATCCTGAGGATACAGCTGTCCAGTGACCAAATATCTTAACTGGACAGTTTCCAAAATTGATGTGCATTTCTTCCCTCGTGGTAAAATAGAAACAGGGATTGACGCCTGTTTTGTCCAGAGCCTCCAGACCCCACTACTCCAAGTCACTGGGGCCACATGGGGCTCACAGGCAACACGGGGGGTACACTGCATCATCTCCAAGAAAGGGGCAACTCGTGCACCCCTAGATGGGAAAGGGGTTGTGAGCATGTGACACTTGGACACACAGACAGATGGACGTGGTTGAGGACCCTGGTGCCCTAGCTGGTACTCTGTGGAGGAGGGAGCCACAAAGCTCATTGAAAGTGCTGGCCCCACTTCCTGCTCCTGTCCAGCCCCTGTGCTTTTGCTTGACCTCCTGAAAATATTTATTTTCTTAAGGAAACAAAAATAGTTTTCTGTGAGAGTTTCTTTTGGCTGAAAGGTTAAAATCGTGGGTTGGACTCAGGGTGGGGAGATTGTTTGTGGCTTTGGTGGACAAGGTGGAGAGTCCCCTGAAATCAGAGCCCAGGGCCTCTTTAGGCTGAGAGGTGACGCACAGCGCAGACTTCCAGTCTTAGCACCCACACTAGGCCAGCCCTGCCGTGGATCGCCCCACGATTAACCACATCCACTGCACAGGCTCTCTGGGCTGGGTGCCTGAATGGTTACAGATGCCACATATTGAATACAGAAGGCTGTCCCTGGCTCACTGTCCTGCCCACCACACTCACCATGCGCAGTGTATCCTATTTCCTTTGAAAACATGCGCGTAATGGCAAAGCTTGTATTTTATTTTGTTTCCCCTGAGGTCCTCGATGGGCTATAACAAAGGGTTTTTATGGTCAAAGGCTCCCCTCCCCTGCCCCAAACAGAAAACCAATACAGCTGGTTTGTGCTGCCCAGGATCTGTGCTTTGGGTCTCACTGAGTGGTTTACTCTTAGCATTCTGTTGGAGACCACCTCCCAGTGCCCTTCTCACCGTTTTTTTGTTTGTTTATTTTTTTAAATTTAGTTTTATTTTTTATTGCTTTTTTAGAGAGAGAGGAAAGGAGAGAGAAAAATGTTGATTTGTCGTTTCACTTGTTTATGCATTCATTCTTTTTTTTTTCTTTTTCTGTTAATCCTCACCTGAGGAATTTTTCCGTTGACTTGAGAGAGAGAGAGAGAGAGAGAGAGATTGGTTTTCTCCCACATTACCCCGACTGGGCTAGGGATTGAACCCGAAACCCAGGTATGTGCCCTTGACCAGAATCGATCCTGAGACCCTTTGGACCAAGGAACTACACTCTAACCGCTGAGCCAAACCAGCCAGGGCATCATTGGTTGATTCCTGTATGTGCCCTGACCAGAGATGGAACCTGCAACCTCGGCATATCAGGACAGTGCTCTGACCAAATGAACTACCTGGCCAGGGCCTCTCACAGTTTTTGAGGAGGCTCTTGACAAGTAGGAACATTGGACAGATGCCGCCAGGCCAGGCTTGGGATGTCTGGAAAGCTGTTTTGGACATGGAGCTTTAGAAGCTTCTTGGCAATTGGGCACATTGTATGTTGCTTGCCTCCCCCACCCCCATTCTAGTAAGTTCTGAAATTATGTGAATACTAGAACTGTCATAGAATTGTACACCAGGCACTAAAAGAAACTATATGACATTCTAGGAAATGAAGGAATGTAGGCTGTCATTGGGTGGCAGACAGATCACCCCGAAGACAGTTCAGAGAATCCAGTGGAGGGGAATACAGGCCAGGGAGTCTGCTGACTGAGGTCTCTGTCCCTTCTTTGAGTTGAGTGTGCTCCTCAGGAAGAGCAGGGAGATGTTTGTGTGTAAGGCCTGATGGGAAGAAAAGCATAGGGACTGACAGGAAACCAAAAGGGCAGCAGGGGCTGAACACCCAGCTCCACAATCTCAGTTCCAGCCCAGGTTTCTCCAGTTCAGGAACAAACTCGGCTCTGCAGTGCCCTTATCCCAGCTGAGTGACCAGCCCTGGTGGCACTGGCACCTCTGAGATCATCTAGTCCCTGAAGATGAAGTTTTGGATTTAAGCTCAGGTTGAGAAGGGGATGTTTAAGAGGTCAAGGTGAGAGACAGGGCTGGTCTCTCTGGGTTTGGTACGAAAGAAAAGGACCCTAGCTCTGTGGGTGTTCTTGAACATCTCCCCTAGGAGCTGGGGTTACTGCTCTGCTATCACAACATGGTGGGGTCTGACCTGACCGTCCATTAGGAAATGACATGTGGCCACATTGCCCTGCCCGCTGAGAAGGGGGCTTCCAGCCAGATTAGAAGGACTCTCGCCTGCTGCTCCCACACAATGGGGCCCTTGTTTCTCTTCCTTGAACCAATATTACCCGAGGTTGAGTGACAGCCCAGCAGAGGATGTGGGTCTCACGCAGGGAGCTGGAATCTTCTTGGCCATTAAAGTGTACTGTTCACTGCACCCCTGCAGGGGCCTAGCTCAGGAGTTTCCTGCCCCTGCACATGTGCTGAGTCTGTGCTTGTTTGTATGTGGGGTACTGTCCCCATGGGGCATGTGTCAGCTGTACTGCTGGGTCAGGCTTCTTGGTCCTGAGTTCACCTTCAACCTGGAGCATGGTTTTGTTTTGGCTGTTGATTCGGCCCAAAGAATTTCCTCCAGGGCTGTCTCTGAACAGTGCCCTTCCAAGTTTAAGACTTTGAACAAAGAGTGGTGAGGAGTGGTTTGTTAATGAACATTTCAGAGGGCAGAGGTCACATGTCTCAGCCTGTGAGACATTTTCCATGATGCTGTTGTTTCTCATCTAAATCCATCGCATGTGCAGGTACTCAGGACCTGTTTCCACTTAAATTTTACATCTTCTCACCATGATAGCTTGGCTTGGCTTTAATATGAAATTAAATCATACACATTTTTAAAAACTTGTATTCAATATTTTTCTTTTCCTTGCTCTAAATTGTAAAAAACGTCACTACATCGATGTTGTTTCCAGGGGAAAAGTTGCTTTTCATTTGTGGGTAGTGGTTGAGAGGTATCCCTTCCTGTGAGGGCTGGTGGGTCTCAGCATTAGTCCTGGGTGGAAGTGGGCAGCCATCTACAGGGCAGCATGCTGCAGCCTCCACAAGGCTGTGGCTCTGATTTAACTGGACAGCACCCGACTCCTGGGACGTTTGCCCAGGGACTGCATCTACAACTGCCCTCTGACCTCAGCTACCCCTCAGTCACACTCCCTTCTCTAGGTGTCACCACTTTTTCAGCTTGGCCTTTCTCACCCACCTCCAGAAAACACGGCCCTGGGGTCCTGGGGTCTCCCCTAGATCTGGACAAGGAGAATCTGTGCCATTCCCCACTCCCCTTTCCCCCAAAGATCTAGTGTCTTTTTTTTTTTTTTTATCCTCACCAGAGGACACTTTTGCATTTATCTTCAGATAGAACGGGAAGGAAAGAGGGAGGAAGAGAAAGAAACATTGATGTGAGAGACACATTGACTGGTTGCCACCCATATGACCCTAATAGGGGCTGGGGACAAACTGCAACTGAGGTATGTGCCTTTGGTGGGAACCGAACCTGGGTCTCTCTGGGCCATGGGCCGACCAGTGAGCCAAACCGGCCAGGGCTAGTGTCCTTTTCTTAAACTGGCCAGAACCTGTTCTAGTCTCTCCCTCTACCCTCTTGTGCCTTTTCCCGTTCTCTCGATCTCCAAACTCTTGTCCCCAACCCCAGCAGAAACAGCAACCTGGTGCCACGGCAGGAGGGGGAGACACATCTGTCGGGGTACATGTGAGTAAGTGGGGCAACTGTGACCACAGAAACCACAGGCCAGACCCTGTCTGAACAAGCCCCAGGAGGCCTTAAAGCTCAGAAGCCTTACCTGCCCTACCCTCACCCCTCACCCACACAGGGAGATGGCTATAGGAACCTGCTGTGGGTGACTGGGAAGCACTGGTCTAGATTATAAAGTGCCCTGTGTACATTATTTGGGGATCCTCACAATAATCCCAGGGTGGGAAAAGCAGGTATTACTGAGCCTATGAATGCACTTCTCAGAGAAAAAAGTCAGAGGTGAACTGTCTTTTCCCAAGAACTCATTTGGTAATTTAAGTGTCAGGGTCATGCCCCAAACTCTCGTCGTCTGCCCAGACTGAGGTCAAGCTTTTCCATGGCAGCAAAGAGGACACAGGAGAACAGGAGAAGCAGGGGCCTTTATTAGGGTCTGGCAGACACGGTGGAGGTGGAGGTGGAGGTTATACCCAGGCCTGGGCCTCAGAGTGGGCAGAGCAAAGGGTCCTCAGATCAGGAACCCAGCCCTCCTTGCCTCCACCAGCAACCCTCCCTCCCCATGCCAGTTTTCTTCCTCCAGCCTCCCCCTGCTTCTGGGAACACAGCACCAAGAACTGACAAGCAGGACCCTCCAGGGCCACAGCTTGGAGTGGAGTGCAAGATCCAGGCTTCTGCCTCCCCCACAGTGTTAGATCTGGGGAGCTCAATGCATCTTCCCCACTAGAATAAAGTGGGGACACTCCTTTGTCCTCAGAACAGAACAAACTCTTGTTCTGTGATGGAGGAGGGGGGCTTGGGCCTCTAAGCTGGATCTAGGAAGAGGCCAGAGATGAGACCCCCAGGAGTTCCTGAGACTCCACCTTTGCACTTGCATGTCTCCACTTCCCCTTCCCATGGACTCTGGTGAGCAGCCCAGAGTCTGGGCCAGGGCGGATCTGCTCCAAAGACATCTGTGGGTTTTAGTGTGAGGGTTTCCCCAACACCAAATTCATCTATATGTACACAGGGCAGCACCCAGGTGGCAAGGGAGCAGCTGCTAGGGGCTAGTAGGAATAGCCACCCTTAGGGCCAAAGGGCTGGGCAGGGCCAGCCAGCTCTGGGAGGTAGGCAGGGCTCTCATCCAAGTGGGACAAAGGGACTGTGTCTTCCTCACTGACTGGCCTGTCAAACTCGGCCTTGAGAGCTGGACGCTGATTGTCCGGGAAGGCCAGAGAGAAGAGGGCCTCAGGCTCGCACACAAACTTGTACACATAACGCTCGCCAGCCACCTGTGGGAAGAGAGGGTCTGGGTCAGTCTAACTCCTTCTTCAGGTCACTGTAAGGGTGGGCAATGGGTCCAGGCAGGTGTGTGGGATACATTTCTCTCACACTTGTTCCTCTAAGCAGCCAACTCCCTTCTGGGGTTCATTTCTAATCTCAGTATCTCCATGCTTTGGGCTTCCCAGTTACTGTTTAGCATTTTTTTGGGGAGAGGGTAATCTCGAGATTGTCCACAATCTGTCCCTTGTGACTGGTTCATTATCTGCTCCTATAAACTTCTGAGAATGCTATTCTGTCCCCTGCCTCCATCACCCTCCCACTTCCCCCATCCTCTTGTCCATGGACCCTTAATCCTTGACCTTCTGCATGATGCCTTTCTCATAATAGTATCGGAGTGAGCGGCTCAGTTTGTCGTAATTCATGGCCGGCCGGTTCTTCTGGATGCCCCAGAGCCTGGCGACCTGGGGGAACAGAGGAGTTTTGGGACAGTGATGCTAGCTCAGCATGGGAAAAATGGGCAGGTCAGAAAGAGCACTTGAGATTCTTATTGCAGAATGCTAAGCAGGTCAGGCAAACAAACAGCAGCTCACAGACCCAGGTTTGGTAAGAATTTAGGTCAGGTAGAGCAACGATAATGGTAAAGACACATGCCACCCATTCCCAGGTTCTCTGATCTCCAGGCCCCAAAGCTGTTGGAAGGAGAGGTGGGGACATCTGAGAGGCCTACCTCCTCAGGCTCAATTAGTTTGAACTCCATTCCCCGGCCTGTCCAGGCAATGAAGTGAGCATTCGTTGGGTCATCTAGCAGGGCCACCAGAAACTGCCACAGCTGCAAGGCACCCCGGCGCTGATAGGGCGGTCCCTCTCGGAATGCTCCAACCCCTTCCTGCTTGATGTCTCCTGAGGAACACAGAAAACAGGAGTGTAGGGTTTGTGCCTTCTGGTCCCCCAAGCAACTTTCTTCTCTCCCAGGGGTCTTTCCAGGCCCTTTCTCATGAAATGTCATGTGATTCCCGGGTGACAGTCAGAGGGCATGGATAAAACCCTGAACCTCTCATGAACAGTCACTTCTCTGACCTTCAAATTTCTCAGGGACGACACAGACATCATCTGGGAATGGTCGCACAGGTTTCTCATAGCCATAGCCTTGAGGAGGAAGTTGGGAGTCACTCAGATTTGGGGGTTCATTGATGAGACCCGAGTGTCCAGAGACTCCTGGCCAGGAGACCCCCCCCCTATGGCAGGACCCTCTTCCAACTTGGAGGACTTGGCAGGGAGGAGGAAGCTGCCTTACCCATGGTCCCGTCACCTGGAGAGGGTCCAGGGAAACCCTCTGTGTGTAGGTACATTGACGCACACCCAGGGACATCTGAGGGTAGAGAAAGAAGGGTGATGTTATAAGTGGCTGGGGTGGGGACGGGGGCGGCAGGCCTACACACATTTAAGAACTTCCTGCCAGTCTGCTTTCCGGTTCTGTTCCCAGCTGCCTGCCTACCACCCAGAGGGGGTGTGAGGCTGGAACCCCTCAGCTTGAGGGCTGAGCCAGAGGGCACGGATGGCAGCAGCTGGGGCTGGGCAAAGCTGTTCCACAAGGTCCAGGATTCCAGGGAGCAGCTGTTTCCTGTGAGTTTAAGGGGAGGAGGCAGGGATAGAGATGAACCTCCGGGGAAAGGGTACAGTGTCCATATCTAAGACTCCCTTGGAATGGGCTAACCTCCGGTCAGCAGGTCAGATTCCCTGCCCAGTGTGTTACATGAGGGAGGGAGGGAGGGAAGAATGAATGGAGGAAAGAAGAGTTGCGGGAGGAAGGGTGGAGAGAAAGAGACTGCGTGTTTCTCTATCTAGGGAAGAGGCAGTGGGCACTGGGCCGTTTTTTCCCCCAGGTCTGACAGCAGAGCACATTCCACTCCATTTCATTCCATTCCATAGGATGGAAACCTCCCCACTCCACCTGGAGGCAGTGGTAGTGTGAAGCCACCCGTTCAAGTTCCAGCCCCTTCTGTCCTACCCCCTCCACTCCCACCTATGAATGAGATGGTGAAATCTGACACCTCCGGGAGGAGGCGGGAGAGTGGGCTCATTCATGCATCCATTTTGTGAATGGAATTCCTGACTCCATTCGGAGGAAGCTGAAGGGGGAGGGGCAGGAGTTCAAGGGCATGTAACATGATCTCCTCCGGTCTACATCCTTTGAAGGTCAGCGGCGAGAGCGTCTCCCTCCTCTTTCCTGCATCTCACTGCCCGGCAAGGCTCAGACTTATGCCCCTGGGTGCACCCTTCTGGTTCCCACTTGGGCAGCCTGGGGGTTTGTGGTTCATTCCCCTGCCCTTAAAAGACTGGGCTTCAGAAAAAGGGAAATTCGAAAGCTCTGGCCAGCTCTGAGCCTACTCTAATCACTGAATTTATTTTTCTCATGCAAGTTTGCACAGAAGCTCAAATATGGGAATGGCAACAACGTAACAAGCCAAGGTTTTCTGGGCCCTTCTAACTGAGAAAGGCCCTCCCTCTGCATTTGGGGCTTTGAACTACAGCTATTTATGAATATGCTGAGTGCATCTCACGCAGGTCAACACCAGGTAGAACTAGAATTGAAAGCAATCCCTACTTCTGGTACCCGGCTCTGGCCAGGATGGTGGGTCATCAATCAACCTTTAGGCTTGAACAGGTTGTAGAAACCACTTATTAACCCCGAGTCCCAACTGGGAACCATGAGCCTGGCTAGTTTCAAGTTCATGTATCTCTTCATTCAAATTCCTTCGTATATTTACGCGTCTGTAGGGACAGAGAACAATCTATTCATCTTATTCATATTTGTATCCTCCAACTCCACACACTTAAGCTCCTCAAACAGTACTTTCGTCTCCACAGGTAATTAAAACTCCAAACACCTGCTATAGACATAGAAAGAAATGCCTTAATTTTCCTATTAAGTCACATGCTACCTGAGGGCAAGGACCTACGTCTCATTTATCTTCGATCTGAATATAAGTTCCCTGATTGAAAAATGACAATTATGTTGAATCTATTAAAAAAGTGAATGGGTTGGATTTATGAACTAGTAAAAGGACAGGAAGGTAAAAAACTTGTGGAAAGACATTCTGGAGGTTATCACACACCACTCCACCCAGCAATCTCACCCCAACCCCTCCCACCTGAAATGTCTCTTACCCGAGTCATAGGCGAAGTCCGTCTGCTCTTGTTTGATCACCACCCCCGCCCCTGGGTACCTGTGCCCATTGACCCCACCCTGGCCCATGGCCAGCTGTTCGTATAGGGGGTCAAGGTATTCCTGCTTGAAGCTCTGCTGGGGGTAGGGTGGGCAGGGCTCTGACAGCTGGTGTTGGTAGGGGGCGGGGAGGGGTTCCCGGCCCCCTCCCTGAGAGGATGTGAAGGAGTGGCAAATATCCACGGGCTGCTGGAAGACAGAGCTGGACAAGGGTGGATGGAGAAGGAAGAGAGTATTAGATTAAGCCTTCCTCATGCCTGACACTCCCAGAGCTTGTAGAGTGGGCTCCAGTGTGGGTATGTGGGTCAATATCCCTTCCTCCCTCCAACCCCCCGCCCCCGCACCACGTCTCTTAAGGGCAGGTGGAGGACACTCAGGGATTGAGGAAAAACTGCTGAGATTCTGGGATTCTCCTTACCTATGCTCCCCGAGGTACCCATGGCCAGGGTGGGGCTGGGAGGTGCCAGAGGATCTCACGAAACTCCGCTGTTCTGCCCGGGGAAAGGGCTGCAGGGGCGACTGTCCGGAGGCACCGGGGGCGGGGGACTTGATGGCGATTTGTCTAGGGGGGTCATAGGCACTGGAGTTGAGGGGGAGACAGGGGTGAGGGGGCAGAGAAGCCGGGCGAGCATCTTTGAACCCTTCATCCATCCCTAGAGAACTGAGGGCACGGGGATTATAGAAGGAAGACGAGAGGATATCGGGAAAGGAATGGCATGAGCCAGACTCAGCCCCAAATGAACTCGTTTTCTCCTTTCATAAATGCTGAAATTGAGTATATATTTTTTTTTATCCTCACCCAAAGACATTTTTTTCATTTTTTGTTCAGATAGAGTGGGAGGGAGGGAGAGAAACATTGATATGAAAGGGACACATCAAGTGGCTGCCTCTCACACGACCCCACCAGGGCTGGGGACAAACTGCAACCGAGGTACGTGCCCTTAGCGGGAACCAAACCCGGGTCTCTCAGGACTGCAGGCTGGTGCTCTAACCGCGGAGCCAAACTGGCCAGGGCTTGAGTATAGTTTTGAGAACACCTCTCTCCAACCCAGAGCCACTGGGTTGGGTGGGACAGTAGCTTCTTCAGTGGAAACAAACTCAGCCAGGACTTAACATGCATCCCCTGATGCGTTTTTCATCCTATCTACTCAGAAGAAATCCTGAGCTGTACTGCTCCCTTATAGGAGCTCGGAAGTCTTTTCTATTGTCTCACTTGCATCTCTACTGCTGCCTCTGCTCACAAGTGCCTCCCTCCCTCCTCCATTCTACCCTTCGCCAGGGCTGGCCTGGGGCTCACCTGGAATAAAGGCACTGCTCGCCATGGTGGTAGGAGAGTGGCGGCTTCCTGCTGCAGGACAGGGCCGGGTCTGTGCGGGGACTCTGGGGCTCCTTCTTGATCCTGGTGGTGGGGCTGTGGAAAGCTACTGCGGGGTTGGGGGAGGCAGAGCAGGGCCAGAGGGTGTCACAGAAGAGGCAGTAAGAGCTTCCTACTCCTTCTGCTCTCTGAGGACCAGCTGGGTGACTGGTACAGCTTTACCCTCTCTCTGGATCTCAGTTTTCAGAGATTTATAGTCAGACACTTTTAAGAAGTTTGGCTATTTATATTATGTCTAGTTTTATCCATCAGGTGAATGTCTAATATTAACCAAAGAAACGATCCAGAGATCAACATTTAATTCAACCCCAAGCCTCCAAAAACACCTTTGTAGGGGTGAGCACCTTCAACCTAGGGCCTGTGGCCTTCCTGAGTGCCCTGGAAAATTCCAAGGGAGAAAAGTTTTCTTATTTGGGGCTATAAAGAATCTTTCCTTCTCTGGTTACGGTTGGATATTAGCCCACTTGCATGTCAGCTGACGAACATTATACACATGCTCCTAATTATCTGTGAAAAATATTGGCCTTCCCTGTGGCCCCTGCTGGGTCCACAAACTCCAGCTACCACAAAGAGCAGCCAAGAGCTGGGTCAGAGGAGGCAGAGTGTGAGATTCTGTCTTACTGCAGTCGGGTCAAATGCCTGTAATCAACCATTCTGTTATCTGCGGTTCTCCATGATGTGCGCCCTATTTCATTTTGAGGGGGGAAGACGTTTGAGAGCAAAGTATCTGACATTGAAGCTGGGTTTTTCAACAGCAGCACTATTGCCATATAGGCTAGATAATTTGTTGTGGGGCTATCCTGAGCGTTGTAGGGTGTTTAATAGCAAACCCGGCCTCTGCTCACTAGATGCCAGTAGCATCTACTTCCTGCCGTGGCAACCAAAAATGTCTACAAATATTGCTACATGGAACAGGGTGCAAAATAGCCCCCAAGTTATGTGAAAGTAACAGAATAGTAGAACTGGAAACTGCTGAACTGGTCCAAGACCCTTATTTCAGAAATAAGGAAGTGGGGATCAGAGAGATGAAGTGTCTGTTCCAAGGTCACACAGCTAGGATGGAGAAAGACCCGATTAGAAACAAGGTTTTCATCTCCCAGTTACTGCCTTGGTCTTTGAGTCCAAACCCAAGAATGGGGAGCCCTGCCCTTCACTCTTTTCTTTAGGAGAGAACAAGTGATTCTCTGTCCCTGTGACTCATTTCCTGCCTTCCCTCACTCCCCAGCCCCTCTACCCAGGGCCCTCTACTCACAGTTTTCTGAATGGAAATCAGGAACAAACTGTTCATCGCTATCTGGTACCTGAGCTGTGGAGAGAGGTCAAAGGTGAGTCTGAGTGGGTGGGGGGCTGAGTGGCAGACCCTGGGAGATACCATTAAGGCAGCCCTGCAGACTAGCACTCGCCCCAAAAATAAAACAGACTTCCTAGGAATAAAGGCAACTCCACACCAGGTCCTACTGCCCTCCATCTCTGAGCTCCATTAAGACCCTGGAGGGGAGAGGCTGCAATTTCCCAGAACCTGTCTGAGCAGATTCCAGTCTTTTCCTAGATGCTTTGTCTTTATTCCCTCCATTTTTCTGAAGTGAAGACAGCCCTGCCCCTCAGAGTTTACAAAGCTCTTTCAAAGCCGCCAGCAGAGTCACATCTGGGATGGGCAGGCATTACAAGGAGTGAGATCCCGTGGACTTTGAATCACATGGGATATTTTGAATCTAGGCTGGACCCAGGAATCTGCATTGTATACAACCTCCAAGGTGGAATGTAGAAATCTAGATCCTGGGAAAAGAGACGAAATGGAGAAAAGAGGGCGGTTTAAGAGAGGTAAAAAAAGGATGACAATGGGAGAGGGAGAGGAAGAGGCTGGGGACACTGGGAGGTCAGGTGCCTCATCCTTTTGATGTGCAGCTAGAAGAGAAGAGGGCTCCCCAAGCTGGGAAGTCCAAGGAGCATTTCCAGGGTGCCAGCATGGGTGGAGCTGGGCTTGGGAATTTGGCAGCAAAACTAAAATAGAACAGTAGTTCTTCCATGGCCTACAACCTGGACATCTGGGTTGATTTCTCGTTCTTATCCTGGCTTTGCCAACCCCTTCAGGTGAGTCTACAGCTGACTACCTCTCCTAACCCAAGTCTTTGCTCACTTTTGCCCCTCATCCAAGAATAGATTGTAGCAGGAAGGGGAAGGGTAGACACCAAGAAGAACTTCCTGATAATCCAGGAACAGAGTGGCTCAAAGGTGAGGTGATAACACCCAAGGAGACTGCTCTCAGGTTAGACAATGTGGAAGCTGCTAGGTAAAATGACTAGAATTAGGAATGGCTGGTAAGGGTGAGGGTCCTACGAGATGGCTGGAGAACACCCCCACTCATCCTAGCCTGTACAAATGTACACCCCAAGCTCTACTGCTTTGCTCCTGGCAAAGGCTTCATGGTTTCTTCCTTGGATTTCAGCCACAGCCTCTGATCAGAACTCCGTACTTTCACTTTCACCTCCTAAGGTTTTCCACAGAGCTGTCAGAACAACAGAAGTCAAATCACTTCTCTCCCTTGCTTAAAACATGGATCCCAAACTCTTTCCCTCAGCCTCCAAGGCCCCTCACGGTCTGATGCTGCTCACCTCTTGGACCTGCCTCTCTAGCTCTTTGTTCTGTAGCGCTCTGGTCTCCTTTCAGGTCCTCAAAGCCGATCGGCTTGATCCCTCTTCCCCAGATCTTTGCCTGCCTGTTTGTTCTGGCCACCAAAGTCTTAGCTCACATTGTTACCTCCTCAGAGGCCTTGTCTAACCACCCAGACCAAAGTAGTCTCTCCCATCCCTTCTTGCATCCTTTTTTATCTCTTCTCCAGCGCGTATGGCTATCTGAATTTACTAACTTATGTTTACATGTTTATTGTCCATTTCCTCTACCAGAAAGTTAAGCTTGCTGAGGGCAGGGACTCTATCTGTCTTGTTCATCTGATTCCCCAGTACCCCAGGAACAGGGTTTGGTTCACAATTAGATACTCAATGCATTATTTGTTGTCTGTGTGAATAAACGTACAAAGACCTCTGTTCTCAGGCTGGTGGGAGTCAGTGTGGTGGGCCTGGGAGCCAGAACTAAAGAGGTCCTACCAACCTTCCTTCACCCTGAGGGCTCTCTCTCTCCACCACAGGTAACGCTAGAGGTAGATCCTCTGGGGAAAGCCCATTTCACATGGGATACTTCAGGCTGTGGTAGGAAAATTCTCCACAAACTTGCTTTAAATATTAGAGGTACCAGGAGAAAAGGAGGGACATCTTTAATAAAAATAAATAAATAATAAATAAATAAATAAATATTAGAGGTACCACGTGTTTTAAAATACACATTTATAGCCCTTGCCGGTTTTTCTCAGTGGTTAGAGCATTGGCCCCGAGGACCAAAGAGTCTCGGGTTCAATTCTGGTCAAAGGCACATACCTGGGTTGCAGGTTCCATCCCCGGCAGCTGTGCGAAAGGCAACCAATCGAGTTACCTCTCTCACATGGATGTTTCTCTCTCTCTCCCTCCCTCCCTTCTACTCTCTCTAAAAATCAATGGAAAAGTATCCTTAGGTGAGGATTAACTAAGTAACTAACTAACTAAAATAAAATATACATTTATAGAGAGTTGACTTCTTGACAGAGGGACTGGGCGGAGAGGGTTTAAGAATCTGGAGCCACCAGCAGCTAAAGAACGTTTGAAATGTCAGCATAAAACAATTCCAAAGTGATCAAATAGATCAGTAGGACATGAAATCCTGTGGCAAAAACAAACACATACACAGAGGCAGCACACATCTTTTCAGATGCACCACTAGGACACAAAGGCAACCACTCCCAAACTGTGGAATCAAGAATCTGGGGGTGGCCCTGGCCGGTTTGGCTCAGGGGTTAGAGCGTCGGCCTGCGGTCCAAGAGACCCGGGTTCGGTTCCTGCTAAGGGCGCGTACCTCGGTTGCAGTTTGTCCCCGACCCTGGTTGGTCGTGTGGGTGGCAGCCACTTGATGTGTCCCTTTCACGTCGATGTTTCTCTCTCTCTCTCTCTCTCCCCTACTCTATCTGAACAAAAAAGGAATAAATGTCCTCAGGTGAGGATAAAAAAAAAAAAAGAATCTGGGGATGTTGTTAAAACATGGATTCCCAGCCACCCTGTCTCATTCCATAGGCCCCAGCTGGGGTCCAGACATCTTTATTTTTAACAAGTGCTCTTAAGAATAGGTAGGTTTAGCCCTGGCCGGTTTGGCTCAGCGGTTAGAGCGTCGGCCTGCGGTCCTGAGAGACCCGGGTTTGGTTCCCGCTAAGGGCATGTACCTCGGTTGCAGTTTGTCCCCGGCCCTGGTCGGTTGTGCGGGTGGCAGCCACTCGATGTGTCCCTTTCACGTCGATGTTTCTCTCTCTCTCTCCCTCCCACTCTACCTGAACAAAAAATGGAAAAATGTCCTCGGGTGAGGATAAAAAAAAAAAAAAAAAAGAATAGGTAGGTTTAGCCCTGGCTGGTTTTGCTCAGCTATTAGATCATTGGTCCGCGGACCAATGAGCTATGGGTTCGATTCCAGTCAAGAGCCCGTACCTTGGTTGCGGTTCCTCTCCAGCCCTGGTTGGGGTCCTGTGGGAGTCAACCAGTTGATGTGTCCCTCTCACACCATCCTTTCTCTCCCTCCCACTCTATCTGAAGATAAATAGAAAAAATAATATCCTCAGGTGAGGATTAAGAAAAAGAATAGGCAGGTTTGAAAAAACACTCCCCAGAGCCCACCTTGTGTCCTCTGTCTGGCCCAACCACAGGTGGCCAGATGGGGGTGATGGCAGTAGGATGAACATTTCCCCTCCCTGCTACTTAGGCAAGGAGGGTGGGGGTGCAAACCATGGGGAGGTGGATGCACTTGAGCCCCCTCTGGGGCTTCATTAACTGCTTTCTACTGAGGTAATGGGCCAGGGCATCTCCTGCCCGTTCATATAATGCTATATAGCCCTAGGGGTCATCTTGCCTTTCCTCCCACCTCAGGCCTGAGGGTTTGACCAGGACCTCTGCACAGCAGTCCCAGAAAAGGCCACCCCCAGCCCACAGACCACACCCCAGAAGAGGTGGTGCCATCCTCATCCCAGGGCTAGAAATCAGTGGAGGTAAAAATGGGCTGTGGTGTGACTCCCAGCCCCTGACTGGTCCTTCTCTAGAACACTGGCTTCTCCCAAAAGGCAGGACAGGGCCTCAATGGCTCAGAAACTGTTAACAGAGACAGAATCGGAACAGTAACATTGTGCTTCAAGTTCCTGGAAAGCAGGAGAATTTCTAATGACCATGTTTGGTCTTGAGTGTACGACACTTTATTTATTTGTTAACTTGGCTGAGTTTTGGCTGCCAAACCAGTGTGCCAGTCTTCCCCCAACTCCATCCTGGCACTAAGGTCGAGTTTATCTGCCTGAGGACATGGCAGGTGATGAAGGCTGGGAAAAGTGCCAAGCCAGCAAAATGCCCAGAGAGAGAATTTTAGGGAACGTCCTTCTAATGATTGTGGTGGGGGGGAGTTGGGGACCTCCCAAGCAGGGCTCCAGAATTGGAAGGTTAAGCCAGCCAAGCAGCTAAGCCCACCCCAGGTTAGCCACCCACTAACACCATACAGACCTCATCACCTTCTCCCCTTCCTAGGGTCCAATCGTAGGATCAAGGGGCCTCTTAAGGAGTCCTAGTGAAGAGGCCAGGAGCCATTCTCCAGAGCTTCTGCTCCATTGTGTCACCACTGGCCTCAGCTCTCACCCTTACCCCACCCCCACCCTGGCAGCCTCTGTACTGGAAGGAACCAGTTCTCTATCTATGGAGGAGACATCTGTCCCCAAGAGCCTTCTGGAAGGGGAGGAGACAGAACTATGTAGAAGGAGGTATTGTAGCTAAAAGACTGGGGGACGAAATTAACCTCATCTCTCCCCACAGACATGCTGAGGTACTGGTCTGCATACACACGGATTCATACACACACCCTAATTCCTTTTACTTCACAGCAGCACACGAGTGAAACACATCCCCCATACACACCCTCCACACAAAGGGTCTCCTTTGGACTTACAAAGACAATGGGGGAAACCAAAGGGCAAGGGGACTGGAGATGTCGGAGGAGGATTGGGATCAATGATTCTTATGAAAAGGGGAGCAGAGACCCATCTTTTTGAGAATCTCATAAAAGGTATGGATCATTCTCTTTCTAGAAAATCCACATTCCTTTGTGTATGGTGTACCCCAACAATTTTACAATGTCAGGGCTCAAGGATACCTGCAACCCATCTGCAGAGCTTCTGGGACTCCACAGACCCCAGCCTCACACAAAGGACACATATGGCCCAGTCAATGTTTCCTACTACCAAATAGACCAAAGTCTTTGTCCCCGAAGGTTCCTTACAAGCCAGAAAAGGAACCCTGGACCAGAAGCAGCACACCTTTTACCACAACCAGGCACAGCTTGGGTTCAGCCTTCCTGAGCCTGTGTTTTCCTACTGCAGCCTGATCCTTTCTCTGGCAACTCAACAGATCCCAGGCACCCCGAAACCAGACATGTCCTCTTGGACTCACTTCATCTCCCTCTACTCTGTCTAGAAAACCTCCAATTCCCGATATATCTGAACTGCCTGCCCCTACAGAGCCCCACTCACACTCACCCCCAGTGATGCCTGGACTTCGGACTCTGAACCCACAATCACATCAGCCAGGATCCAACCTGGGCATCCACTGAATTTTCCACAATGCCCCCCGACACACACACTACAAGGACCTGCTGCTTCTTTCCAAATTGGGGCTTTAGGAAAAAAAATCCAGCTGAAGGAGGCGGTTGGACTCCGGCCCCCATTCCTACTGATGCACCCCATTACTGGCAAGTTTCCAAAGGAGCTAGCCCCTCCCTGCCACCCCAAAGCTCCCCCTAGGCTGCAGGGGTCACTGACCTGGTGGGAAGAGGCAGGAGAGGAGGCTGGGGTGGTGCTGGGATGGTGCAGGGGGACAAGGCCCCGGCAGCTGCATCTGTCTCCGCAGAGAGAGTGAGAAGGAGCGAGCGGCCTCAGCATCCCCCCCTCAGGCCTGGCCATCCATCGCCAGCTGGGAACCTGAGCTGCTCCCTCAGAAGGAAGGAGAGGGAACCAAGGAGATCCCAGTGCTGCCCCCCCTCCGTCTTTCGATCCCCACCCCCACCTCCCCACCCACTGGATTTAAATGTACAGAGACTTCCAGGGCAGCAGCATGAAACACACACACTCACTGTCACACTGACACATGCAGATAGACACACGTACAGTCTCTAGACCCCCACCGCCAAGGGGTGGGGCTTCCAAGGTTGAGAGAAGATGAGAACATTTTCCTCTCTTTCCCATTACAAACCCAGGCACAAATGGACCAGCTGCTGCCAAAATGCCAACCTCTGAGTCTACTCCTAGATCACAGCCCCGGGAGCTGCCCATTGTGGGGAGCGCAGGGACCCTCAGCTGACAGACAAGGAGCTTGGTGAGCCAGACAGAAATCAGGCATTGGGAAAGGAAGTCTTTGAGAGATGTGGAAATTGACACCTCTGCGTTCTTCAGCTCCAGCCCAGCTCCGGAACCTCGAGAGGAGGATGGGCAGACTGGGTATACCTCTGCCAGTAACTCGGAGCTGGGCACCCAGGACTTGCAGAGTCGGGAAGATGTGCACAGTAGCCCCAGAACCCCCAGGTCCTTCCATCACCCAAGTAGCCGGTGAGCTATGAATTCCACAAAACGTTCCGAGCACTTGCTTTATGCTAAACAGTCATTCTGTTAACATATATGTTTTGGGGGCTACCACAGTGGTCAAGACAGATCTAGTCTCACTCCAAGGATCTAATCAGGGGTCTTCCCCTTCTACTCCAAGCTTTTATAGAAGGTTCCAGAGGAGCTAGGTTGGAGCTTAAAAAAATCACCAAGGATACCCAGGTGGAGGTCTGGGAGATCCTAAAGAAGAGAAAAGCCTTCAAAAAGATGTTCCTCATGTAGTGGTTTCTTGGTTTTTAGAGTGTTAAAATAAAAGATGGGGGGTGTTAACCCTTCCCTCTCAGAGACTACCTAAACACCATTTGCCTCCCACCTGCAGCCCCACCAGCGACACCCACAGGACCCACCAAACACACCAATGACTCCAACCAGGAGACCCCCAGAACACACTTCTCCACTGGGCCAAGGCCCAGCTACAGACCTCTGCTCAGCCAGCTTGCAGCTACAGCTAACCCCAAGGCAAGCAAGTGGGGGAATTTGCCTGGAGTGGAGGAATTCAGGAGGAAAGGAGGAGGGACGATCAGTTGCCATCAGAATTACAATCCAGGCTATTGGGAGGAGGGGGCAGCTCTAAGCCCTCTTTGACAAAGTGCTGCAAAAACGAATTATTTAAACTTTTGTTGTTCTTTTGGCTCAGAAAGAAAATTGTTTGGCACTGGGAGTTGGGAAGACGAGAAACTAAGGGTTTGGGTAAAAATAAATGTTTTGGCAACTTCTGAAGATTAGTAACAAATTAATTGCTCTTTCTCCTCATCCTCCTGCCCCCCCCCCCCCAACACCCTAACACACACCTCGGACTGGTGGCTGCTGCCAAACAAACTTTGCAAATGAAAATTTCAACCAGGAAAACGGGCCTGGGGCCAAGTTCCATTCAAATAAGCAAATACCCCACACAATGGTCTGATTCATCCCCAGGCCTAGTTACACAAGCCCGGCTCAGGGTAGAGAAAATAAATATCAATATAAGTGACCACATTGGGCCCTGGGGACAGCAGAAAGGCAGGGAACTTGAGGAGGGGGCCTTGGAGAGCTTCTTGGGGCCAGGGAGAGAGGAAGTAGGCTAGGCTAGATACTGAGGTACTGAGCACCCCCCCACCCCAGTAATAGAAAAGGTCACAAAACTACTCACCTTCAGCGAGCCACGTCTCCTGGAAGTGACTTAGATCCTGGAAGAGATCTGAGGGGTGAATAATGGAATTGGAGAACGTGAGGTGGAGGTGATGGTGAGAGAGAGGGAGCCCCAGCGAGCCCGGTGACCCCCCTTGGGGTGGTAGGAGCCGAGAATGATGAGAGTCCCTTGGAGGGCGAGTCTTTTTGGCAAAAGGCTAGGGGCTCCAGGATCAGTCCTTTGGGCGTGTGTGGTGGGGAGGGTCGCAGTTTTTCTCTCCAGCTCTTTACCTTCGGAGTCGGGGGGCGGCAGGGAGCCGGGGTCCATGAGCTTCCCCTGCGGGACCATCAGCGCTTCGCGCAAGCTCCCATTTCCGGGCGATTTCTGCCGGGAAGGGGAAGAATGCCCCGAAGTCACCCTGAGGCCCGCTGGTCTAGGGGGGTGGGACTGGGTTCCCGGGGTGACTCAGGGGCCGGGCAACCCTAGACCCCACTGGGGCCGCGGGGAAGAGGTTGTGAGGCGGGGTGCAGGGCGGGGGCGGGCGTGGAGGCAGGCGCGGCGCTCACGCTGCAGAAGGTGTAGGGCACTTGCTGGTCCAAGTATCCGCCTTTCATCCTCCGCTCCATCCGGCCGCTCCCTCCGGCCGCAAGGCCCGGGCCCCGCGCGGGGGCAGAGACCTGGCGGGGGCGGGGGGAGGTGGGCTGCGTTCACACACCGTCCAGGGAAAGCAGCGGGGTGGGGGTGGGTAAGGGCGACAGAGAGGAGACCGTCTCCAGGCTCTGGGTCCGACGGCAAAAGTTCTCCGACTCACTCAGGCGATGGTGGGGTTTCGCTTGCTGAGCTGAGCGCGGTCACCACTCCCCTCCCGCCAAAGGAGGTCCCACCTGCTCCTGGGAGCCGGGCTCGCCGTTTCGGCTGCTTTCTGTAGTCTTGCTGTACCCTACCCAGGCTCGGTTACATAAGACGTGTGTGTGTGTGTGTGTGTGTGTGTGTGTGTGTGTGTGTGTGTGTGTGTCTGTGTCCGCGCGCGGAGGAGCAGGCGAGGCGCGCACCATTCGCACGCCCACAACTCCCACACCCCCTCCAACCCTGAATTTCAGCGCCTCCCACCACTCGCCCTGGAATCTGTGGAGGTGGCGGTGAGAGTGTGGGGTGTGTTGAAGGCGAGGCGAGGAATCACAGGCACTCTCCCTCCCTCTTCCTCCTGCAGCCTCACCTGAGGCCGGGGCTTCGGTGCTGGAGACGCAGGGGGTCCTGAGCATGCCCTGGGGCTGCAGCAAGCGCTGCGGGCTAGGCCGGAGCGAGGCGGCCGGGGCCTCGGGTCCCCCGCGCACGAGCTAGTTTTCCGGGCTCCGCGGACTGTTGTGAGCCCGGGGGAGCTGCTGATTGGTGCATTTCCTTTGCCTCGGCCCAGGCTCTCTCCCCCCACTCCCCCACCCCCGTTCCCTTTGTTTCATTGACTTTTGTGAATGAAACCCCTGGGCCGGGCACGCCCGCCAATCCGGAGACTCGCTTGGCCAAGCAGGGGGGGCGGAGTTTCCCAGCCGCGGGGGCCAATCAGAACGCAAGCTGCTTTCTGGCTTCATTCACTTCTTGGGCTCTCATTCATAAAAAAATAAACTCCTCGCGGCCGGAGTTCATTCAGAAAGAGCTGAGAGAAAAGGAGGGACGCCGAAGACTCGGCTTCTCTGCGGGGCTCGGCGGTGGCCCTCGGTCTGAGGCTCAGCGAGCTCCTCTGGCTGGCGTCTGCACGCGCCTCTGTGCATCTGCATGCATGTGGGAGTGTGAACATGTCTGTGTGTGCGCCCTGGGGGGAGGCGAGCGGACTTGTGTGCTCAGAGGAACAATAATAACTAGCATTTATGAAGCGCTCCACTTCCGCGTGCTCATTTCATTCCTATAACCTGGCGAAGTGGCTCTATTGTCTCCATTTTACAGAGATTGAAGAACACCCAGAGAGGGGCGGTGACTTGGCGGAGGTCACTCAGTCAGCTGCTGGGGTTTATAGTTCCCGATGGCCCACGTTCTCCTGTACAGCCCTTTGAGGCCACAATTAAATGAATTAAAGCTATGTGACAACTAATACACAGGAGGCACCCAATAAATGTAAGCTGGCACAGAATCCAGGCTTTTCCTCAAGGGTCTGTGCTCTGCAGAGCAGTTGTGTGACCCACTTTCTATTGATTGCAGCACAATCCCCAGCTTGGACCTCTGAAAGGACAGTTCCTCTCAGCCATCTTTCCTCTTATCCTGAGAGCAAACATAGGGTATTAAGGAGCAAAAGCCCCCAGAGCTCTGATGATCTGAGGGCAGGACTGGTTTCATTTCTAGCCAAAAAGCTGGTCATCGTCTCTGTCACTTCATTTATTCACTTTATTCAATAAACATGTATTGTGCCAGACACAGTGATGGGTGCCAGGCAAGCAGCTGTGACCAAGACAAGAACTTGGGAGTTGGGCTGCTTAGGCTGCCACGTGTGCCACGGGGACACACAAGACATGAAATCCCTGAGGCTTTTTTTTTTTTTTGGAGGCAATTCTCTCCGTCTAATGTCTTTGCACTTCTTTGCCTGATTTTGTTTGCTGCTTGTTTGTGATAAATGCAAGAGACTGGCAAAACCCCAGGTCAGTAGTGGCTGCTTTCAAATTCATTTTATCTAACACCTCCTTTTACAGATGAAGCAGTGAAGTTTCAGAGAAAGAAATTATACATGCAAGCTCTTTCCTCTGGTCAGGGTCAGAGCTGACTTAAAACACCAAACCTCCAGCACCTGTTTAGGGCTCATTCCACGAGATCATCTTGGGCAAATGAAAATAAATTTCCTTCACTACTTTGCTGAAAAGTCTTTAAGGCTCATGTCTACTGCCCCTCTCCTCCAGGAAGCCTTGCAGATCATCTGAATCAGTTCCTTAAGGACCCACAACATTCTTGCCTATATCTCTGGTGTGGCTGTTTTTTATTCTGCCTCATGGTATAGACTTCCTTAGGTATAAAGAGCTCTCCAGGCCCAGCCAGTGTGGCTCAGTGGTTGAGCGTAGACCCAGCAACCAAGAGGTCACTGGTTTGATTCCTGGTAAGGGCACATGCCCAAGTTGTGGGCCGATTCCCAGCGGGAAGCATGCAGAAGGCAGCCAGTGAATGTTCTCTCTCATTGATGTTTCCAGCTCTCTCTCCCTCTCCCTTCCTATCTCTCTAAAATGAATGAAAAAAAAAAAGAGCTCTCCAGGGCCCGGAGGAGGTATCTGTAATTCTTTCCCCAGCCTGCTTCATGTGTATGAGGGTCCCATGAAATACTTGTTTGGTGAATAGGTACAAGAAAGACAAAACTAATGTAACTTAACAGGAACCCTGCCCAAGCAGAGGAGGAGAGACAAGCTCAAGCAGATCCCAGCTTTGGGCTGGATGGAGCCAGTTTAGGGAGGAGCTTGTGTCTCCAGGCCAAGAGAAGTGGGGGAGGAGGACAGAGAGTTCTTCCTGAAGGCAGTTCTGACATGACTCCATGACAATGAAGAAAATTCATGTCTCCAGTTGGGAGCTCTTTAGGGGTTCCCAGCTGGTTCTGAGTTCTTACTTTTTTTTTTTTTTTCTTGATACGTGCCCCAGCGGGAACAGAACCCAGGACTCTCTGGTCCGCAGGCTGACGCTCCAACCACTGAGCCCAACTGGCCAGGGCCTGAGTTCTTACTTTTTATGGAGGACCCCTGGCTCCCTGGAGAGTAACTGTTCTCCCCCACTTCCCATCCAGGGACCTCCTCCCCTGCCTCTGGCTCAGAGTGAGAGAAGGTACCACTGTTGCTGCCACTACTGTCACCTGGCCTCTAATTCAGCAATGCCCAGGCTCAGAAGAATGAGATCTCCAGGGAGAAAACTCGAGCCTCTTTCAGGGCTCGAGGTAGTTGGGGAGAGGAAGGAATAGAGAGGCTGGAGATTTCTCTTGGAAGTCACTTTGCATTGACCAACACCTATTTGCCATGCTCTGCTGCAAGGACTGGACCGGCATTATTAACTCATGCAGCCTTCACAGCAGTCCTGTGAGGTGTCTTCCCCATTTTACACATGAGACTGAGGCCTCAAAAACACACATCTGCCCCAAGGGTCCACTCAACAGACTGAGGACACCCAAACACACTCGTAGGCACAAAGACTACATTTTGAGGGAACACACAACATGCTAGATGGAGGACAAGCCTGAGCCAGAGAGTACACATGGACACACCTGGATTAAGGATGCTCACAGTATCCTCTTGGACACACACAGCATCCTACCTGACACCCCCCATTACACCATTGCATAGATAAATATTTCCTTCCTTTTAGTATATTGAAGCTGGACTCTGACCAGTTTCCCAGGAGTTCAGGTTATAAAATGTAAATGTGGGTTTTAGATATGCAGATGTTCATACCAAGGCAGCCTGAGGCTTAGCTCTGGGATGTGAAGGAGGGGAAGCTATTTGAGGCATCTGGATCTAAGAAGCCTAGGAATCATTAGAGAAGCAGACTCTTCCTGGCGGTGTTCAGATAGGGTAGTGGCAGGGGGCTGGGTACAACCTGACTGTGAAGGGAGGACAGAAATAATATCTTCCAAGGCCTGGCTTCCTCAGTGTCTGGAATAACAGAGTCCCAAGGCTTAAAGGGTGAAGCTCAGAGGGTAACCCAGAAACAGCCTGGTAAGGCCAGATGGATGAGATAAACAGGGTTAAGTGGTGTCCTATAATCCCTTAGTGTCTCCCAGACTGGACCTATCACCAGGGGGAATGAACCAGAGAGCAGGGTCAGGTGGTGGGGATGGAAGAACATGGGATCTTCCCATGGGCTGGTGAGTCAGGATCACCAAGAAAAAAAAGTGCCATTCTTGAACTTCCCTTTGTCCTGGTCTCACAGTCCCATGTTCACATTGCTTCCTCTAAACTGCCAGGTTTCTGAACCCAGGGACAATGGATGTGTAGCCCCCTGAAACCAACTGCCTACATCAGTGTGTGTGTGTATGTGCACGCATTTGCTGAGGAGAGTTCGGCAAGGGTTATCACAGAGCAGGATTGTGAAGAACCACTGCTCTATGTCTCTTATCACAGATGGCTTTGCAAGATCATAGATCTTGTCAATATTATCACCTTAAAAATGGCTGGAAAGGCACCACTTGGAAAATGTGGTTTGGAAGGAGGGTGAGACAACTGTTTTTTGTTGTTCCTCTCCCCCTTCCTCTTAGCCTGAGATCTCTCTTGGGACCCCACAGAAAAGGGGTCCTCCCTCCAGACAGCTAGCCAGGAGCATGCCAGGCTGGAGAGGAAGGTGCCAGGAAAGCTGGTGCCCTGCTCAACTCCAGAGGGCACCTTGATAGAGGAGAGCTGTCTCAGGAGAAAAGGCCGAAAGATGAGGCCTTGGGTGGAGACGGGGCCT